GGTCAATTTTGCATGAGTCACTTTTTACGCTATTTTGCCTGTAAAAGAGCCAATTGTTATTGGATTTTCATAAAAATGACACCATTTGATGCGTAATGTCAATTTTGACTAGTTTAAACCAATTTAACATTTTCAATGTCAACGGAAATGGCGCCATTTGGACAAAAAATGTATTAATAGCCTTCAAAACAGATATTTTATTCAATTGAGTCTGATTTGTAATGTTTTCAAAATTATGATATTTGATTCCAATCAACTAATAGAATGAACCTATACGATCATATAGATATCACAAAATATTTTCTAACTAGTTCAGGTTCGGAGAAATAGGCGATTTTCAGCAAGTCACTTTTCAAGGTTTTTGGTCCATAAAAGTGTCAATTATTATTCAATTTTCATAAAAAATTTCACTGTGTGATACGTAATGCCATTTACGATTTCATACAAGTAATTTAGTATTTTCATTATCAGCGGAAGTACCATCACTTTGGCAAAAACTGTATTTTTAGCCTCTAAAACAAGTAATTGTTTGAAGTAAGCGATATTCATTATTGGTGTAAAATTATGATATTTGATTCCTATGAACAAATAGTATCAATCAATACGATCATATTGATATCACAAAATTGTTTCTAACATCTTCCCTTGCCGAGAAATAACCAATTTTATTAGGATCACTTTTTAAGATTTTTCGCATTTTAATTTCAGTGTATGGGTTCTGGGTTAATTATTTATTGCCTGATTTGTGTAAAAGAAAAGCCACCTGGTGCAAATTCTCAACTTACTTCTACATATAAAAGTTTCTGTCGGCACCGGAAGTGACGTAATTTTGCCCAAAACTTCAATTTTGACGTGTTGAAAGGCCTTTTAAAAAGCAAATATTAATGTTTACAAATCTAATAGATCAAGATGAATGCTCATACTAAAGACGCAAAATATGTCTTGCTTTGTTTTTTTGTTTTTTTTGGTTTTGCATTTGCATCGTTTTGATTTATAGCTGAAAAAAAATGTAAAAATGAGCTATTTAAAATGCATTCAGATTTTTCATATTTTAAAATATTTCTTGACAACTTTCACGAACCTGTAGGATTAATCCATACGATGACAATTTATGTCAAAATTAGTTTGTAATATTAGCAGTTGCCGAGAAATAGGCAATTTTGCATGAGTCACTTTTCACGTTATTTTGCCTGTAAAAGAGTTAATTGTAATCCGATTTTCTTTTTTTTTCACCATATGATGCCTAATGCCATTTTTGACTGGGCGGATCCAATTTTACATGTTCAGTGTCACCGGAAATGGCATCATATGGGCAAAAACTATATTTATAGCCTTCAAAGCAGATATTTTATTCAAATGAGTCTGATTTGTAATGTTTTTAAATTAGTGACATTTGATTGCAATCAACAAATAAAATGAACCAATACGATCATACAGATACCACAAAATGGTTCCTAACTTTTACGGTTGCAGAGAAATAGACGATTTTCTACAAGTCACTTTTCAAGGTTTTTGGTCTATAAAAATGTCAATTATTATTTGATTTTCATAAAATTTTCACCATGTGATGCCTGGTGCCATTTATGATTTCATGGAACTAATTTAACATTTTTATTATCACCGGAAGTAATGTCCTTTTGGCAAAAACTGTATTTTTAGCCTTCAAAACAAATATTTTTTGAAGTGAGTTATATTTATTATTCGTTTAACATTATAATATTTGATTCCAATGAAGATATAGATTGGATCAATATGATCATATAGATGTCCAAAAATTGCTTCTACCATCTTTCTTTGTCGAGAAATAACCAATTTTCTCAGGATCACTGTTTAAGACTTTTTTTTCACATTTTAAGTTCCCATTAGATAGTCAGCTAACTTAGTGGTAAGTTAGTAATAAATTTTGTCAGGATCACATTTTTGACATATCTAACGCATGGTAACAAATGTATAAATGGAATTGATATTGCTGGATTTGGTTGATTCTGCGTCCATTTCATAACATGTGTGCAATGCTTACAGGGAAATCTGTTTAACGGTTTCATTGGTACCGAATGTGATATATGTTCAAGGGTAACGAGGCACCGGAAGTGACATAAGTGACATACTGTTCTGCTCCTAACCTGGGCTAATGAAGACGGGCATACGCCATACAGTGTGCTATGAGGGAAATTTTGCCCGGACAGCGGCACTACGGCCTACTCTTATATCGAATTCCAACTGCCAAGGGATCTTTTACGTACACGCCAATGTGTACACGGGACCTCGGTTTTTCGTCCCATCCGAATGACTAGACAGCTTTCCTTGTCAGCCCCTCCGTCCTGCATCACTGACAAGGGAGAACCACGCCGGAAAATCTGGATGAACTTTCTCGGCCAATGCAGGGATCGAACACCCAACCTCCAGGCTAGCGAGCTAGCGTCCTACCCACTTAGCCACGTGATCCCCCATTAAGTTTGGTACTAAAGGGGGTGATAGTTTGGCCAACATACTGTTTCTTACAAAACTCACAAGTTATACAATATATTACATTAGAACTATGGCAATTTAAACAATTAGCCTTAATATGAAATTTTTTTAAGTCTATACTGGTAATGTGACTGGTGGTTTCAACAGTAGCACACGCTTTACATTTAGGTCTATTACATGGTTTGCATCCTCTATAAAAAAACACTGTCAATTACAGGCACTTCAGGTGTTTTCAGTCTATTCACTTGTATCAATTGACCAATAGTCTTACATTTCTTCTGGGATATTATGATTTTTGATTTATCCAACAGTTTAGATGTACGTGCGCTAGTCTCTAAAATCGAGGTATCTTGCGCTAAAGTATGTAAATTAGGTTGACAGGGGTCATATGTGGTTACCCATGGTATAACTTTCTTCTTATTAATATCTTTGATTTTATATTGTAGTAATTCATTTCTGTTTTTATGATGGACTTTGTTAAATTCTTTTTTGATCACTTTAGTTTTATATCCGCATTGTTTAAGGTAGGTTTTAGATTTAGTTAAATGGTAGCTGATCCATTTATGTTTGCTGCAAATACGCTTAATGTGGATGGCCCCACTGTAAACTATGGAATTGAAGATATGATGAGGATAACAGTTTTTTTTTTTAAGATATTGATGACTTAGCTGTTTATCTAAAAATGAGACTTCGATATTAGTAATATTACTGATATTCATAGTGAATTTGTTTTTAGGGTGCTGTTGGTTGAGGTTTATTAGAAAATTTTGGCATTCTTCCAGGGTAGACGAAGAAATGGCCCATATATCATCGATATCAAAAGTGTTCATCCGGCCTATTAGGTAAATGATTCCAATATTTTTTTAACCAATAAGTCATATAAATATTACTATACGTAACTGCGAACAGGGTCCTCAGTGCAGTTCCACTGATTTGATGGTAAAATTTTCCATTAAATTCAAATTCATTGTTAGTAAGTATAAAATTAGCTAGTTAAGGGTGGCGTCGATTTCTTTAGGTTGTAAATTACTGCCTTCTTCACAAGCTACTTTTAGGGCTTCTATTCCTTCTGGTATAGGAATATTCGGATATAGACTAATAACATTGAATGTGAGTAGGTAGGTATTATTACTTATATTTATATTTTGGAGTTTTTGAAGAAAATTAGTGGTGTCTTTCACGACATCGGTGCAGTAGGTTTCAATTTCCAATCAAGCCAATATGATGCTTTAGCTGTGGGAGAATTAGTATGACTTCCTGGAGGTATTTCACCTTTATTCTTAGTCTTATGTATTTTACCCAAGATGTAAAATTGTGGGGTTCGCTGTTTAGGCCAGTGGAGAATAGCTTTTTTCTCATCGGTATTGCCAAATTAAGAATTATTTTCTCGAGGTTCTCATGAATCATGTGCGAGTTGTCACTGGGCACTTCTTGATACATGCTCAAGTCGTTGAGGTGTTTAAAACATTCCTTAATATAATCCTGTTTGTTCCATATAATTATACCACCGCTCTTGTCACTATTGCCAATTACAATATCTGTATCTGCTTTAAGGCAGTAGATAGCTTGTTTTTCTTCTTCAGTCAGTTTGCTTCTTACTTTATGTTCTCTGTAATTTTTATACGCCCACATTGAAATGTGGTCATATAGTGTGGTCGCCCCCGTCCGTCCGTCGTCGGTCTGTTAATATCCGATTGACTTTAAATTTATACACAATGTTTAAAGTCATGAGACGAAGAAGCCTATGAATATCAGCGATTCTCGATAATTACTGCCGGAGTTATGGCCCTCAATCACTTCAAAAAATCTTGTGGACGCTCTAAAGGTCAAAGTTAATATCCGATTGACTTTAAATTTATACACAGTGTTTTAGGTCATGAGACAAAAAAGCCTATTGATTTTCAACGATTCTCGATAATTACTGCCTGAGTTATGGCCCTTGATCACTTCAAAAAATCTTGTGGACGCTCTAAAGGTCAAAGTTAATATCCGATTGACTTAAAATTTATACACAGTGTTTTAGGTCATGAGACAAAGAAACCTATTGATTTTCAACGATTCTCGATAATTACTGCCTGAGTTATGGCCCTTGATCACTACAAAAAATCTTGTGGACGCTCTAGAGGTCAAAGTTAATATCCGATTGACTTTAAATTTATACACAGTGTTTAAAGTCATGAGACGAAGAAGCCTATTACAGCTAGAGTTATGGCCCTTGATCACTTTGAAAAATCTTGTTAACGCTCTAGAGACTAAAGTTAATATCCGATTGACTTTAAATTGATACATGGTGTTTAAGGTCATGAGACAAAGGAGCCTATTGATTTTCAAGAATTTCCGATAATTACTGCCAGAGTTATGGCCCATGATTACTTTGAAAAATCTTGTAGACGCTCTCTAGCAATTATGGACCATGTTTGGGGTTATCACCATATATGACCACATTTCAATATGGGCGTATAAAAAGCATCTGACTACTAGTTGGCCAAATGGTAGCAGCAACCCTGCTGTTAACCCTATTTGCGACACAATAATCAGACTGTGGAAAGCTGACAAACACAACATTACTCTTTATTAATTTAACACCATCATTTAATAGCATTAAAGATCATTTCTTAAATGAATATTATTTTCATGTTTACATTTTTTACAAAGCACCCAGATTTCACAACACTTTCAAAGTGATGATTTTTTATATAATTATGTCTTTACAAAAATGACTAATAAAAAAGCAACCTGAACAATAATTAATGGTAACTTTAAACAGCTATTTTTTTATATTAAAAAAAATTGTAATCACATGTATATTCATCGCAGTTATTTCTAATTGATCATTAATAAATGTCATCGTTGTAATTACTTTTGAAAAATGAAAAGCTGTAAGAATACAATTCCTAGCTTCCACTAATTATATATTAAAATCTAAACCATAGTTTCTAAACAGTTTGTCAAGATACACATTAAAGCAGCTTATGATTTTTTTTTATAGGCAGAATTCATATTGAATGACAGAACAGAACACATGATTATTGTAAACAAAATGACAATTGTACAAAACACACAGTATTTACAATTATATTTTGATCAAAATAAAATAGGTTTACTATTGCTGGACATACAGTTTATACACACAAAAACAATGATGCAACAATATTGTGTAGATTTCTGCATTTTTTCTTTCTTTACATAAAACAACTTGCCATTTATATGAAAATATTTTTTTCATAATAAATATTTATAGTATACATAATAAACAATCTGTGTATACAAAAAAGTTGTGAAATATCAGATCTATTAATTTTTCCAATAGATTATTACTCTGATTAATATAGAATAATATACACATAGTAATTCAATTTTCATCTCAGAATAGTTGTGACATTTTTATTTTAGCCACTTAAGTACATCTTTGCCAACCACTTAGAGCAAATATAAGGCAACAGAAAAATATTACTCAGAGTAATACAAGGGCTTTATTCTCTAAGTCTATGGAACCAATAACTCAATAGCCTCTGCAGTTTTGCAAGTTATTTAAAATTAAGCCCCAGAACGGAAATGTTACCGGTAGATAGTTTACATATACTGAGCGCCATGGAAAACGCATCACTTTTTTTCCCAAATATTTGATTACTAGGTGGTTTTGTATGTATAATATTATGCAATACTATGAACTATTGTTTCACACAATGTGCCCGTGTGCACAAAAAAAAATTGCACGAGATGCACATGAAAAACCCAATATTCACGTGCAGCATTGTGTGTGAGCCCTTTAAAAGCATGTTTTCAACTTAATGTGCAGTACATGAACTTTGAAAAGTCAATCTGTCGTAATTTGTTGTTGGACGCGTGAAGGAATTGAGCTAGAGATGCCGAGACTTACTGAAAATCAACGGAATGAAGCCATGGGAATGTGCCAGGCTGGCAAGTCTACACATGCTATTGCCAGACACTTCAATTGTCATCAGTCCACTATTGTAAGGTTGGTGGAACGTGTTCGAGTTACTGGATCAACACGTGACCGTCAACGTCCTGGTCCACAACGCATTACAACCCAGGCTCAAGACTGCTACATCCGGGTCACTCATCTGCGTGACAGATTTTGCCCAGTGCCTCGAACAGGTGCAGCAGCCGTTGGAAGACAAGGACCAGTAAGTGCCAACACCGTAAGACGTTGTCTAAGAGAAGTAGGACTCCATGCACGACGAACTTATGTTGGAGCTATCCTCAGGGATCATCACCGTCAGCGGCGTTTGATATGGGCTCAAGGACACCAGACATGGAGAAGAGTAGACTGGCAAAGTTGGCTCTTCAGTGATGAGAGTTACTTTCATCTTCATCACGCTGATGGCCGTCAACATGTGTGGAGACATCTTGGGGAACGTCTTGCAGACTGCTGTGTCTTCAAAACGAATCGATGGGGTGGGGGAAGTGTAATGGTGTGGTGAGGCTTCACATTTCATCACCGGACCGCCCTACACATTTGCAGGGGTCGCGTTAATGCTGTAGCCTACCGTGATGATGTCTTGCAACCAATTGTTGTTCCGATGTTTCGAGCGTACCCACAACTTCAGCACTTCAAACAGGATAATGCACGTCCGCATACCGCCCATTTTAGTATGGACGACCTGGCTGCTAACAACATCAATGTCTTGGACTGGCCAGCCATGGCACCGATAGAACATGTCTGGGATGAGATTGCCCCAGGCCTTCTTTCAAACATCGGTTAATTCCATGCGACGTCGCTGCACAGCGTGCGTAAGAGCCCGTGGAGGACACACGCGCTACTGACATCTGTGTCGTACTTTTGGTTTTTACCCCTCTGACTTTGTACCGTTGATTACAGATTAAACTTCCATAAGTGTACAAATGTGTTGTTATTGATGTGTTCCCGTTTGAATATTGTTCACAATAAGTAGCAAAATAAATAAGATATGTTTACAGGATCATTTTGTTATAAGAAAAATTAAGTGATGCGTTTTCCATGGCGCTCAGTATATTTATTAACTTTGATTTGTGAACAGAGCATAGTATAACACTATAACAGTTCAACTATCCTATATCACAGTCTTCTAACTTCTATACTTCTCAACTTCATTTATAACTTTCTAGTCATTACAATATTTATGTAGCATTAAAAATAAAAGATCAATTCACTAATTGTCCCTTAAGGGTTGAGATGACTAAATGAAAACTTCATATTGGAATCAGGTTTTCTCAGATACTTGATTACATTAGACATCTACATATTATTACCTACATGTACTATAATTATTATCATTTAATTATATTTATAAATTATTACAAAAATACTAGTTAAATATATATATTATTAACCATTTGCCAAAGAGAACCCTTATTGTTATTTGATTATTATTATTAAAATAAATCTGTTCACAAATTTCTGTGTATAAATCAAGTACATATCAGCACATAGAAAATATTCAAAATCTTTCTTCAGTAAGACTGGTAAGTAAAGGTAGAGATTTAAAGGAGAATACTACCGCAAAAAGTTGTTTTAATATGAAAAATAATGTTAATATTAGAATATTTTTAGCCCTGTGAAATTGGAAAAGTCATTCTGAATATTTTTAAAGAGGAAAAGTATACCAAAAAACCCAGAATTGACATTTATGCATATCTGCCGCCTTGTTTTGATTTTCCCTGTGAGTGACATCAGAGACAACAGACGTGAATTTCCCTAAAGATGGCAATTGAAACTGAGCACTGCATCCCGTTATTTTGAATAACTGGAAGCATAAACATGGTCAGTTGCGTCGCTTGGGGATGTACTAATAGCACAAACAATAAAACAGGAAGCATGTGTCATTTTTTTTTCAAATTTCCAAGTGAGGCAACACGCAGAAAGGTCTGGACACAGCGAATGAGCTATGTCAATGAGGCAAGAAGGGCTAGTCTCCATCAAAACATGCTTCTCATTCTCTTTGTTTGGAACATTTCGAGTTATCTACTTACGAAAGTTATTTTAATAATATTATTATGTCGATCGAGATATAGTAGTTATGTTATTTTTCTATGTTAAAACTGTGCATAGTTCTATGGTGAAACCGACACGCTTTCAAAATCTAGCAATAGAAATGACTGATGTAACCATTGTAGCATTAGGAACGAAATGTTAACAACACAGCTAGGTAGCCTAATTACTAATGTAAATTAATATCCCCTTTTCGAAGCGTCTTCCGCATCAGTAGTAGGTGTCAGCCTATGTCAATGATTTTGCAGTCGATCATAGATAGTCCTAGATGTAGGAAGTCCGTCAGATTTTACTAAGTAAATGAGTGTGATAGACATTTTTTCGTGACCCTTGTTTTTCTTTGTTGCACAAAGAAAGTAGATTAGGGCATATAATACCGTATTACCCTATGGCTAGGGTAAACTTGTTGGAATTAATAGTTTTTCTCAGATATATTTTCGCTGATGAAGCGTGAACATCAATAAATGAAGCGAAAAACTGTGATAAGACAAGGTACTCTGACCCGTGACCTAATCCGACTGCAGCAATGGTTTTTCTTCGCTAGAAATGGTAAAATGTTCTGAATTTAAAAAAAAAAAAAAATTCTGAAATGTGTTAGACAATGAACTACGTAAATGATAAAATTAACCTTTTACTATAGCATTCTCCTTTAATAATGTTACATGTTCTAAGACAAAATGGTGTGTGTTACAATCCTTAATATAGATATGTTTTATAATGTAGACTTATTACATTTGAACATGTTTGTTGATATGATTATAGATAATAAATATTACGATTTTTACATGTATTGCATTATTTAAACTTAGTGCTGACCGATGACATGTTTTTACAATACAATAGAATTTTAACCATCTTTTCTTACATCTGTTTAATCGATATCGCATCAGCAAATGTGGACACAATATTTTTTTTCTTTTGTTCTCTTGGTCCAATATTATTTTGGTCTTAATGATAAATAATGTTTTAATAGGTTGAACAAAATGTCATAATATATAACGACAAAAAGATCAGTTTCATCAACATACTGTTATTTGTGGCATTTGTTTTATTATGTTATAAAATGAGAAGGTTTAGGTTTATTTATATATATTTATCTACTTCCATATAGGTACTTTATATATAATCACAATAAACATTTGACCAAACCTAATCCGGACCTGTGTACTGAGAGCTATCCGTCTGAAAGGCCATATCCATATGGGCCACTGTCATTACCTTCTACCCTTCAAACTTGACAATAAGGTTGAACACATTTTACAAGCTAAACAGTTATCAAATCAACATATATGTTACATTTATCAGAAATCTTACTGCGTAAATCTGTATTTTAAAAGCACTTGATGTACATGTGTTGATTCCCTCCCCCCTCATAAATAATATATGTACACATAAAGTAATGCATCGAGCATCTTGTTCAGTTAAACCATACATGTAATAACAACAATGACAATAATTACAAATTTACACATTCAGTCAGTCATATCAAACAATTTGGTATATCTCATATTTATTAGTAACATAATGAGAGCAATCAAATGCTTTTGGCCATTTTTTGTAACCCATGTAGTAGTACCAGTTAAGTTCAATTTTAAAAATATCAAATATCCTTGTATGATTCATTTTGATTCCCTAATTACGAATTGTTTGGTAAATACCTTCGAATTAAATATTCGTTTGTTACATGTCCCAACAAATTTCTCAAAATTATTTGTTGCTGACTATCATTTTTATTTTCTTCAGATTAGAAAAAATGGATATGAGCATAGTTTAGGTTTTCCATTATGACGAGGCACTTTTTTATTTATTTTTTTTTTTACAAAACTTGAAACAAAAGTTTTGGACAGTCATTAATTTTTATACGCCCACATTGAAATGTGGACGTATATTGCCGTCGCCCCCGTCCGTCCGTTTGTCGGTCGTTCCATCGTCCACAATTTTTTGTGAACGCTCTAACGCCAAAAGTTATCATCCAATTGTTTTAATAATGATATATGTTGTTTAAATTAGTGAGATGAAGAAGCCTTTTTAATTTCAATAATTTCTGTTTATTACGTCTAGAGTTATGGCCCTTGTTTCACTTTGTTGAACTTTGTGAACGCTCTAATGCCAAAAGTTAACATCCGGTCTTTGTGAAATTTATATGCAATATTTAAGTTAGTGAAACGAAAATAATCTGATCTGTATGGAACTGTCTTGTAAAGGCCCCCAATTACCTACAAAGGAATAAATATGCGACAACCCTTGTCGACCGCTCGGACAATTTAGCTGCTGTGGGCATATGTTTCGTTGCCTTGCAAACTATCTTCAATAATAATTGCCTGTTGCCGTTCTTCATAAATATTAGCTCTATAAAATGGACTCAATGATTATTTGATGTATAATACAAAATAAATTAATATATACCTTGATTAATATTTTCTATATAAAATGACTTGTTATATTAATGTTTCTACAAAACTGAAAACCTTTACAGTTGTATCAAATTACCATGTTGTTGATAAATATGATAATTGTAGTTTAGAATCAAATATACATATTATTTTACTTATATACACATATGAAATATCATAACAGATGAACAGACCTGAGATATCAGAGTTCTATCCATTCTATGATGTTGCTTTGTTTTAACTTGTCTACCAGTACTATATAATAAATATTAAAGAGAGGTTGAATAAACTCTGTACATTCTCTTCAGAAAGTCTAATTTCTGACTTTACAAATCATGATAAGTCACTTCTTTGTTCTGCACTATCAATTACATCACTATCCCAGGATTGTCTTAATAAGGTTACAATGCCTGAGATACGCAGAAACATATACAGGTTACCAAGTGCGTGATCATCGATCTACCATACTTGTTGTTTTAAGATTTCAGTTAACACATAAACATGATTTGCTGAGTAAAACAACGCCAATTTCTGTTCCACCGGATTGGTTGAGATCTGAAAACTTGTAATATCTCTTCGGCTAATCAGTTGTGTCTTCTATGATGGCTGTGCCATTACTTGAGCAATCAGCAACTGCCAGACAGGATACGTCCACATTTTGCAAGAGATGGATAGAGAACAAGCTAAAAACAAACAGGAATTTTTGTACAATCAGGGGCAATAATCCCTGAAATGCGCAAATATCAAAAGGGACTGAGATCTTTGGGATATAAAGATATGTTTTAAGTTTCATCAGAATCAGATAAAAATTGTGACCTCTAGAGGGTCGACAACCTTCGTATTGCATAGTTTTACACAATTTGCGTACAAAGAGCGGCCATTTTGTTGGGCAGTTTTATTTTGATTTTCCCGAAATTCGAATTCAACCTTCCTTATGGTGGAATAGTGAAATATTTACACAGTTTTTCAAATCGGAAAAAAAAATTGTGACCTCTAGAGAATCTGCAAGCTAAAAATGCCATTTTTCGAACAATCAGGGGGCCATAATCTAGGAAGTTAAGTACGGGTATCCGCAATTATTTACACATTTTTTTTAAATCAGATAAAAATTGTGACCTCTGTAGGGAACTCAAGCAAAAAACGTGATTCTTCGTACAATTCAGGAAGTTATGATTCGATATGCACGAATATCGAAAGGAACAGAGATCTTAGGATTATAAACTTACATTTCGAGTTTCATCAAAATCAGAAGAAAATTGTGACCTCAAGAGGGTCCACAACCTTGATATACCATATTTATATGCTATTTGAGAACGAGGGGCGGCCATTCTGTCTGTCAGTTTTGGGCTGATTTTCACGAAAATAGAACTCAACCATTCTTAGGGTACAACGGTTATATATTAAAATGTTTTTTTAAATCGGATAAAAATTATGACCTCTATAGGGTCCACAAGCTAAAAACGCGATTTTGCATACAATCAGGGGCCATAATTCAGGAAGATACAGTTTGATATGCGCAAATATCGAAAAGAACTGAGATCTTCGGGTTATAAACTTACATTTCAAGTTTCAACAAAATCGGATAAAAATTGTGACCTCTATATGGTTCACAACCTTGATATACCATATTTTTACGCTATTTGAGAACGAGGGGCGGACATTTTGTTTGCCAGTTTTGGTCCAATTTTTACGAAATTCAAACTCGAATTCAACCATCCTTAGTGTGTAACGGTTATATACTAAAAATTATGACCTCTATAGGTTCCACAAGCTAAAAACGTGATTTTTCGTACAATCAGGGGCCATAATTCAGGAAGTTATGGTATGATATGCACGAATATCAAAAGGAACTGAGATCTTTGGGTTATAAACTTACATTTCAAGTTTCAACAAAATCGGATAAAAATTGTGACCTCTATAGGGTCCTCAACTTTGATATCCCATATTTTTATGCTATTTGAAAATGATGGGCGGCCATTTTGTCAGTCAGTTTTGGTCCGATTTTCACGAAATTCTACTCAGCCATCCTTAGGGTGTAACGGTGATATACTAAAATGTTTTTTTAAATCGGATAAAAATTATGACCTCTATAGGGTCCACAAGCCAATAACACGATTTTTCGTACAATCAGGGGCCATAATTCAGGAAGTTATGGTCCGATACATGCCAATATCGAAAGGAACCAAGATCTTAGAGTGATAAACCTATATTTCAAGTTTCATTGAAATCGGATAAAAATTGTGACCTCTAGAGTGTTCACAAACAATTGTGGACAGATGGACGGACAGGGGCGACACCAATATACGTCCACATGAAAATGTTGTCGTATAACAAGAAAAATCCTGTGCCATGTGAGTTAAGATATATATATATGTGTCTATCGGGTATATAATTATGAGCTGAATTGACTACAACATTAAACTACTAGTATAACAAGTCAACTATTTCTTGATATACATGTAAAATTTAGTGTTAGTTTATCACATTTTCCCAGCACTATCTAGTCCAGCTAAGTAAATTATTCTAGTTTATTAAATAATGAAGATGTCACTGTCCATCAAGAATAAAGTATGTGATGTGATCTTGTGTTGTTTATGCTCTTTGTCCGTAGCCATATTAACTAAATGGATCAGGATGACCTCTCTTTAATAAACTAACAACTACAGATTGTTATGTTTATATCACTGTGTCTTTTATACACTAAAATCAAACTGTCTTTAAAACAACATACTTTGTCTTCGTCTATTGCCTGAAAAATAAAATATACCATACATTATGGTTTAAATATGAGCATAAACTTAAAGTAGCTAAGTCCGTAACTCCATATCATCCAAAATCTTCAACATTGAAAACACTATTTTTTTTGCAATTTAAATCAGCATTGGTGTTGTGATCTTACCTGGAAAAGATGGGCTTCTGATATCCAATATTTAACACAAAAAAAACATTTTACCATTGGTACACGAATCGTGTACCATAATGCATTTCAGCGCCATTTGTAACAAGGTGCTCAAAGAATGAGGCTAGACATATTAAACAAATCATGTCAAACAGTGATATCATGTTCTTATTTGGAGAGCATGCACAATAAATAATATTGGTGTTGACTGGAATAACCAGGCGCTAGAAACTGACTTGCGGTTGAGACTTCTGGCGTATTTCGCCGAACATAACTGATGACAATTCACAGTAAAACGGACACGATTGAATGTAAAACAGTTTATATAAATTCATATTACATTATTATATGTGTTGCGACCCATTTGTGCCAATTTCTAGGTCCAAAATATTAGCAATTAGGTCCTTTAAACTTCACTGCTAATAAATATGTTGGCAATTTGGAGCTGTATGTGTAGGAATTTCAACAGACACTACTATTTGCTTGTAACAAGACAAGACAAACAAGTAATTACTAAAAACGTTCTTAATCTAACTATGATATAATTTGTTCAAGTGGTGTCAGGTGTTTTAGAAAGGGTAAGCATACCCTAACTCTTGAATGACACCAGTTACTACTTATATACTCTTCAAAAAAAGTAGGGTGTATTGAAATGCAAATATGCAGGTTATCCTATGATAAATAGTCATGGACACTTGACATGCTTTGAGAGTATGTTCACAGATGAAGAACTTATCGCCCCAACAGAACCACCGAGCTTCACATGCGACACGCGATAGCACCATACACGTGAGAGGGTTCATTGTCAAATTTGACACTTCAAGGAAGGGTTGATGAGAACTGCCGCTTGCTGGTTTATCCTATCCATGTTTGCTTTCCTATCGGTTCTTGCATAAGATTTACTGTTTAGCGTATCTTTGCTTTAATGTGTAACGTTTAATTTGATCGGGAGACGTGTTCGTCGAAGTCAACGTCAAGCGACAACACTGCAAGAGGAATGGGTCAGATTGCCCCAAATCGTGATTGGACGGTTGATTAGGAGCATGCCACGACGAATTGCTGAATGTTTGAGGATTGGTGGAGCAATTACTCATTATTAAGACAAAAAACAAAAATGTCCATTTTCACTTTTGACAGTGTATTTCTTTGCGAGTGAAATGGGGCCGTCAGATAAGCCGCCCATATGAACTGTTTATGTTCATGTGTAGGCAATGCCCATATGAACTGTTTATGTTCACGTGTAGGCAATTAGCCTGTTATTAACATACACTGGTTACCTCTCATAAAGATAGGTTGCCAGGCAACAAAACATACGCCGACAGCAGCTAAATCGTCCGAGCAGTCGACAAGGGTTGTCACAGATTATTCTTTTGTAGGTAATTAGGGGAATTTAATATAAAATTTCATACATATGACATTATAATTTTCGTCGTTTGAGGGTTCACAAGGTTCTAAAAAGTAAAACAAGGGCCGTAACTCTGGAAGTAGCCTACAGAAATTGTTCGTATTCGACAGGCTTTTTCGTTTTACTAATTCAAATGATGCATATAAATTTCATACAGATTGGATGATAACTTTTGTCGTTCGAACGTTCACAAAGTTCAACAAAGTAAATCAAGAGCCATAACTCTAGACATAATTGGCGGAAATTGCTGACATTCAATAGGCGTCTTCATTTCACTAAATTAAATGATACATATGAATTTCATACAGATTAGGTGATAACTTTTGTTGTTAAAGCGTTCACAAGATTCAACAAAGTTAAAGAAGGGCCATAACTCTAGAAGTAATTAACGGAAATTTGCTGAAACTCAATAGGCTTGTTCGTTTTACTAATTTAAATGATACATATAAATTTCATACAGATCGGATAATAACTTTTGTTGTTAGAGCATTTACAAGGTACAACAAAGTGAAACAAGGGCCATAACTCACAGCATAATTAACGGAAATTACTGAAATTCAATAGGTTTCTTCGTTTCACTAATTTAAATGATGCATTTAAACAGATCGGATGATAACTGTTGTCATTAGAGCGTTCACAAGATTCAACAAAGTGAAACAAGGGCCATGACTCTAGATGTAATTAATGGAAATTGCTGAAATTCAATAGGCTTCTTTGTTTTACTAATTTAAATGATGCAAGGGCCATAACTCCAGAAGAAATTAACGGAAGTTATTGAAATTAAATAGGCTTCTTCATCTCACTAATGCAAACAACATATATCAATTTCAAAACAATCAGATCATATGTAGTCTGTAGAGTGTTCACAAGAAATTGTGGACGATGGACCGACGGAACGACGGACAGCAATATACGACCACATTTTCCATGTGGGCATATAACCAGCGGCTGCCAGGCAGGATACGCCCACATTTTCGAGAGATGGATAGAGAACAAGCTAACAAGAAAGTGATTTTTCCTACAATCAAGGGCCATAATTCAGGTAATAACAATTCGATATGCGTGAAAATCGAAAGGAACCGAGATCTTTGGGTTATAAACTTACATTTCAAGTTTCAACAAAATCGGATAAAAATTGTGACCTCTATAGGGTCCACAACCTTGATATACCATATTTTTACGCTATTTGAGAAAGAACGGTGTAACGGTGATATAATAATACGTTTTTTAAATCTGATAAAAATTATAACCTCTATAGGGTCCACAAGCTAAAAACGCGATTTTTCGTACAATCAGGGGCCATAATTCAGGAAGTTACGGTCCGGTATGCGCAAATATCAAAAGGAGCCGGAATCTTTGGGTTATAAACTTACATTTCAAGTTTCAATAAAATTGGATAAAAATTGTGACCTCTATAGTGTCCACAACCTTGATATACCATACTTTTACGCTATTTGAGAACGAACAGTGGCCATTTTGTCAGTCAATTTTGGGCTGATTTTCACAAAATTCAAACTCAGCAATCCTTAGGGTGTAACGGTGATATAATAATACGTTTTTTTAAATCAGATAAAAACGCGATTTTTCGTACAATCAGGGGTCATAATTCCGGAAGTTACGGTCCGATATGCGCGAATATCAAACACAACCGAGATCTGTGAGTTATAAACTTACATTTCAAGTTTCAACAAAATTGGATAAAAATTGTGACCTCTATAGGGTCCACAACCTTGATATACCATATTTTTACACTATTGGAGAACGAGGGGCGGCCATTTTGTCTGTCAGTTTTGGGCCGATTTTCACGAAATTCGAATTCAGTCGTCCTTAGGGTGTAACGGTGATATAATAATACGTTTTTTTAAATCGGATAAACATTATGACCCCTATAGGGTTCACAAGCTAAAAACGCAGGTTAATGCTGAGATAAGTAATTAGGAGAGTCTAATGTTATTTTAAATATGATAAACTTATAATTCAAACTTAATTACATTTATTTTCTTCATTAGAGAAATAACTGAGATGAAAGATATAAGAGTGTATACCTGTAGCTGCTACAGAAGATGATCTTATACCAGGATCTCTATGTAATGATATTCCTGGTATAGTAAATATTGAGACAGCTGAAAATAAACGGAAGAATTTACTTCAAGTCTACCACTAAGATTTCTTACATCATTTATTGTCCTTTTACAATTAAAATGTAACAAGCCAACACTGAGGCTGATGTCCCCCGCCGAAATCCCAATATAAATAGATGACGCATATTAATTAATTTTTTTCAAAAGTATCAAGCAATCAAACTGATTATCAACTATACACTAAGTTTCATCACTCTCTATCAGATAGAATCAAAGTTATCTTGTCCCAAAGCATCAACCAATAAAATTTCTTAGCTGTGCTTAGCTTTAGCTCAAAATGTTAATAATTGAACTCAGTCAAGACATTCACCTAATGAACATCTACATCAAGTTTAAACATTCTACCTTGATTAAAAGCAGAGTTGTTCTGTTCCAAAGTTTTGACCAATCAAATTGCTTATCGCTCCTTAGCCTAAACAGAAAATTCTCATCATCGAATTTAGTCAAGGTAATGATATAATAAATCTATACTCAGAGTTTCATCACTCTCACTTAATTAAAACCAAAGTTATCGTGCCCCAAAGCATCAATCAATCAGATTGCTTATCTTTGCTTACCGTAAGCAGACAATGTTTATCATCGAACTCCATCAAGGCATTCCCCATATGAATGCCTACACCAAGTTTGAACATTCTACTTCAATCAGAAGGAGAGTTACTGTGTTCCAAAGTATCAACTAAACAAATTGCTTATCACTCTGCTTACCTTGAGCAGAAAATGCTCACTTAGTGGAGGTATTGATATGATAAAACTATACACCAAGTGTCCTCACTCTCACTTAATTAGAACTAATGTTATCGTGTCCCAAAGCATCAACCAATCAAATTGCTTATCACTGCTTACCCTAAGCAGAAAATTCTCATCTTCGAAATCCATCAAGGCATTCACCTAATAAACACTTACGCCAAGAGTGAACACTCTAGCTCAATTAGAAGGAGAATTATTGTGTCCCAAAAAGTGTGACGGGCAGACAGACAGAAAGACAGACAGACGAACCCATTTTAATAGTCTCCTGCTTTCTTCGAAAGGCGGGGGACAAATATTATATAATCCTTTGTTTAAAAGCTGAGTCATTAAGTACGATTTAACACTTTCTATTAATTCAGTTCAATTTGAAGACAGGTTTGTCCCAAATGGGAATATTATTCATAATGACTTTTCACTATTTGTTTAATACTGCTTAAATGTTTTTACTTACTATCTGGTATGCGGTGAATTGTGGACCCAAATGAATTGAAGAAAGAATGATTCATGCCTGATGCTGCCGACATTCTGGCCCGAGCTGCATACTATAATAAAAGATCAAATATTCTATTTTATTAAGTTAACATATTATGTAATAAATTTAATCAAATATGATTCCTTTTTATGACTGGCATGTACCAGTGTTCGCAAGTGGGCAATTGAAAAGAAAAGGTCACATTTTATCAAAGATACATTATGTTAGATTAGATAAGGAGCTGGCAGTTCTCACTATAATAATTAAAGATAGGTTGCCAGGCAACGAAACATACGCCCACAGCAGCTAAATAGTCCGGGCAGTCAACAAGTGTTGTCGCATATTTTTACTTTTTTCGGTAATGAGAGAGAGAGAGAGAGAAATGGGGTTTAACGTCCACTCGACACAAACTAGGTCATTTCGAGACTAACATATGGTTTAATTTTATTTCAATAATTCGCTTGCTCAGAGGGGTCTTTAGCAGTGGGAGGAAACCGGAGGACCCGGAGAAAACCCACGAGGTTGGACAGGCGCCCCTACTCCTTGTCACGTACAACCGAGGATTCGAAACCACGCCAGTCGACTCAATGACAGACTTTATGATACAGCGCGCGCACGCTAACCATTCAGCCATCCAACCCCCTTTTCGGTAATGAAACATTTATAATACATTAAAATCTGATTAAGAGTAACAACTCATGAAGTAATTATCAGAAAACCATTAGAATTTGTTTGGTTTTTATAAAGTTTTGCCCCATGTTTAGTATACAAATCTTTTAATATCATGGATTTAGCTGTTCAAGTGATAAAAACTCATTGAAAATCAATATACTTGTTCGTCTCAAGATCTTAAACTCTGTGTATCAATCTGAAGTCAATCTGAAAAAAAATAGACTTCTTCGTCTCATGACCTTAAACACTGTGTATAAATTTAAAGTCAATCGGATATTAAAATTAGCCTCTAGAGTATTCACAAGATTTTTCAAAGTGATCAAGGGCCAAACCTCTGGCAGTAATTATCTGAAATCGCTGAAAATCAATAGGCTTCTTCCTCTCATGAGATTAAACACTGTGTATAAATATTAACTTTAGCCTCTAAAGCGTCCACAAGATTTTTTGAAGTGATCAAGGGCCATAACTCTGGCAGTCATTATTGGAAATCGCTGAAAATCAATAGGCTTCTTCGCCTCATGACCTTAAACACTGTGTATAAATTTAAAGTCAATCGGATATTAACTTTGGCCTCCAGAGCATTTACAAGATTTTTTGAAGTGATCAAGGGCCATAACTCTGGCAGTAATTATCGGAAATCGCTGAAAATCAATAGGCTTCTTTGCCTCATGACCTTAAACACTGTGTATAAATTTAAAGTCAATTGGATATAAACTCATGGCCTTAAACACTGTATATTAACTTTAGCCTCTAGAGCGTACGCAAGCAATTCTGGACAATGGACGGACAGTGACGACAATATACGACCACATTTCAATGTGGGCGTATAAAAACTAGATAATGTAAAGGGAATTTACTGAAAATTTCAATCAAATTGATCCACTCTGAACCAATATTTTAGCGATTGAATTTTCAGCCTAGCCTTGATCATTATTACTAAAGTCGGTACGATAGTCTTGATTATCCATTTCATGATTAAATCATGAATGGAAGTTGAACAGCAAATCGGAACCTAATCCAATAAACATCGCAGGTTAGCAATGATATCGAGAGTTGATTAAGGTCTAGATAAGTTAATTAATAATTTAGATAACATTTCAGGCCTAAACAAAGACCTGCAATAGGCAGATTTAGCTCTTGCATAATGTCTGTTTAACACCAATGATTATCATTTTAGTAAATCAAAGGTAAATGAATAATAATGTGAAAGCTTACCTTTAAAAATTTTGATAATAGATCCAGACCATCTGGATCTAACCTATAAATATACAAATATAATAAATAATGATCATTTTACAAACATTATGTAATAAATTCTAATAGTTCATCGTGTCCACATACAACAGTATGGTTTTTTTTAATTGACTAGGATTAGGATAGTAGTATTTTCTATAGCCATAGAGTGAATTTAAAGATACTATAATTACATGTATTTTCTATATCTACAGAGTGAATCTAAAGATAATATATTTACATGTAGTATTTTCTACATCTATAGAGTGAATCTAAAGATATTATATTTACATGTAGTATTTTCTATATCTACAGAGTGAATCTAAAAATATTTACATGTAGTATTTTCTACATCTATAGAGTGAATCTAAAGATATTATATTTACATGTAGTATTTTCTATATCTACAGAGTGAATCTAAAGATACTATTTACATGTAGTATTTTCAAAGGCTATAGAATGAATCTAAATATATTATATGTACATGTAGTATTTTCTATATCTATAGAGTGAATCTAAAGATAATATAATTACATGTTGTAATTTCTATTAATTTGAATGAGCGTTACCTTGGCGCTATATTCAATAATGGTTCTGGTTTATAAGTTAAGAAGTTATAAGAGACATATTCCTCATTTGTGGTTATTCCTGGAAATTCTATTTCTGTAGGTGTACCCAGAATCTTAAATATTAACTGAAGTTCATCTTCTACAGTAGAACCAGGAAATAATGGCCGCCCACATGCCATTTCATAAAATATACAACCAACACCCCTAAAATAGAAATCAGTAATTGGTAATAAGTCAATACAGCCTTTCTTCAGGGCCAATACAAGGGGTTTGCAATAAGGTAACTGTACACACTTAACCCATTTAACCCTGAGCCAATTAAAAGATTAGCTACCCTACCCCTAAGCTAATTAAATCAGCAGGGCCCATCTCCCTAAGCCAATTAGTGGATTATTGTTAATCCTAATACCCTCTACTAAATTGCAAATACCGGTAACTAAAAAAATATTTTCTATACATAGAAATACTCTGTTACAAAAATGTACAGATTGTCGTGTTCTTTCCAATGATATAAAATTCAATTTTACAAAGTAGAAATTATATTACTACAAATAACATTGAAAAGTCAGTTCCACTAAAATTATGACTTTTCTCTGTCATAATGGTAAAATAACGTGAACAAGTATCCCCTAATATTTTTTTATAAATAGAACACAAATATAGTCCTTCAAGTTGGCAGCAGTGTTCAAAGTAAATGTAAATATAACTTTTAAAAGGAAATAACACCCCAAGTGACGGTCACTTCATCGCTATCGGCATTTTAACATTTCTGCCTTTTTTGCTTTATTCGTCGAAAATAAAAATATATAGTTGAAATCTTCGAAAATGTAATATTCCTCTATGTAGCTTGTATTAAATCCCAAAAGTTTTGATTCAATTTAGTTTTTCAAAGTCTAGAATTATTAGCCGTAAGTTTTGTGTTATCGTCTGTTTGAAAGCGTACCGTATCCAAGATGGCGGCGACACGCTTGATCTCGGCTCGAGTATCCATATTTTTTTTTTCTAACACTATTTATTCAATAAATATTTACATAATATAAATATAATATATATAAATCTGGGATCTGAAAACAAGCCGGGGCTTCTATAAATTCATCTCCCTATTTACAACAATATAAATACAGTGTTTGAAATTATAATCATAAATTATATAACGGTTTAAATTTACAAAGAAAAATGTATACTCTCAATGTTCCAATATTATATCGGACATATCGTAGTTTAAGTACAAAGGGGGTTAATATACAGAAAGTAATGTAATGTAATGTAATGTAGTGTAATGTAGTGTAATGAGGTGTAATGAGGTGTAATGTGGTTAGCGAAGCAATTATTTGATGATGTTGATAGTAGTGGGGAGGTGTGCGAACCCAAAATTGTGGATTGGGGAGAGAGAGAGAAATTCTGAAGTCTAATATCTAAAACGAGAAATGAAAAGCATCCGAGGGTAACATCGCAATTAAAAAAAACCCAAAAAAACATTAGTCAGTAGACGGTAGATAAAACCAAATGAAAACGAAAAGTAGCATCATTCAAAAGGCGGTAAGTAGAAGAACCAGCACTACATATTAATTGTCACCATTCGAGCAAGATGGTGTTAGTAGAATCAGCAGGACACGATAAGTATCAACAGTCAAGAGACAGTAGGTGAATACAATGGTGTGCTGTAAATAAGACCAGCAGAACAGGATGAGTATTGTCAGTCGATAAGTATCAGGACATGGATGGATTATCAATCAGGGAACAATAAATAAAATAAAATCAAATCAAATCAGGTGACGGTTAGTAAAACTCACCATGACATGCTATGTATAATTAATGAGGAGACGACAATTTAAACCAGCAGAACACGATAAGTATCATTAGGACACGATAAGTGTCACCAATCCAGAGACCCAAAATAAACCAAGCATCACACAATACATACCGGACAGGATATGTATCATCAGTTATATAACAATAACTAAACCCACCATAACGCGATAGGTATTATCAATAAAAAAGACGGTAAGTATCATCTACGATAAAGGCCGTCTATCAAAAGGTTGTAAATCAAACCAGCAGGACACGATAATCAGCAAGATACCGTAAGTAAAAATATCAGGACACGATATGTAACATCAATTATACCAGCATGACACGATGAGATCAGTAAATAGGACAGGCATGACACGATAGGTATCATCAATCAATCAATTACACAATAAGTATCATCAATGGAGAGAAGATGAATAAAAACCACATGGGTGTGGTAAGTATCATAAATGAAGTAGTGGTAGGTACAATCAGCATGGCACGATAAGCACCGTTAGTCGAGATACAGTGGGTAAAAACCAGCAGTCAAGAAAACAGGTAAGTATCGTCAATCAAGACAACAGGTAAGTATCGTCAATCAAGACAACAGGTAAGTATCGTCAATCAAGACAACAGGTAAGTAGCATCAATCAAGAGATGGTAAGTAGAACCAGCCTGAAGTGGTAAGTATCATCAACCAAGAGACAGTAAGCAAACACAGTTGGAAGCAGTAAGTATCAAAATCAGTAGACGGTAAGTACTTTGTTTAATTTTTACTTAAATCTATTGGATCGGTTTATGAATAACTGAACTGCAGTAAAGATTTCTATATTTGTTGAAGACGTCAAGAGGTTGTTTCCATATAACAACGTTCTAATCTCCTGTTGTGTATATGGTAATAGTAATATAGTTTCTTGTCTTTGTCTAGTAAAGTTGGAGCAGTATCATAAATAATGTTCGCTGTCCTCCATGGTGTGACGATGGATTGTCGGAAATATTCATTAAGAACTTGTGGTAGTTCAGACAACTTTTTTGACATCTAAGTCTAGTGTGAATAATTTGGAGTCTTCGATCTCCTTGGTAGTAGTGTTTAGGGGTCGTTTGGTCGCTTTTGTTTAGGTGACCTTTGAACTCTTGCAAAGTTGAACTTTGCTTTACATCTTCGGGGAGGTTATTCCAGAATGAGATCGTAGAAGGAAGAAAAGGCAGTTTATATGTAGTTGTTGATGCATATATGTTTCGGTAATGTGATTGGTTACGTGTAGCGTGTGGATTCAGGGCAGCAACTCTAGGTGGAACTAGTAATGATAGGTAGCTGGGCGTGTGTTTGTGTATCATCTTGTAAAATACAATGAGTTTGTGTCTGTGCCGTCTCTCTTTTAATGGGATAAATCCCGATTCTGCATATATGACTGTTCTCAATGCATCAAGCTGAAGTTTCTCAAGTTCAAAAGTCTCCTGGCCTGTACAATTATCCCATAGGACATCTGCGTAGTCAAATAAGGGAAGAATAAAAGACTTCTATATTGTTTCAAGTGAATTTCTGGAGAGTCTATACTTAAAACTTCGAAAATGGTCAACAGTTTAAGAGATTTTGGATGTGATGTAATTTAGATGATCTGTCCAGTTGCAGTTTTTTTTAAGATAGATGCCCAAATGTTTATAAGAAGAGACTTCACTTAGAGCAGTGTTGTTGAATGTTAATTGGAAGAACGAAGGGTTTTGTTTTCTGGAGAAAGTGATACTGGTGGTTTTATTGGGGTTAAAAGCGACTTTCCAAGTAGAAGCCCATTTGCTAATGGTACAAAGGTCTGAATTTAGAATTTGTTGGGATGAAGCGGGGTCTTCAATGACAAGAGAACGACGTATTGTCTGTAAAAAGTCGTATGTTTGATGTTATATCATTCACAAGATCATTTATGTAGGCGACAAAGAGTAGAGAGCCTAGTACTGATCCCTGTGGTACTCCTGCATGAATTGTTGATGAATTTGAAGATACTCTGTCGATCACTACACACTGTTGTCTATTTGATAAATAACTCTCTAAAAGCCTATGAATATTTCCATGGATCCCAAAAGCGTGAAGCTTATACAGAAGACCTTGATGCCAAACCCTGTCAAAGGCTTTACTTATATCGAAATATACTGATTGCACTTCTTTGCCTTCATCAAGGGCTTTACAGATTTGGTCATATAGATCTAGAAGTTGGTAAACTGGAATTGTTCTTAATAAAACCAGATTGGAGTGGTGTTAGCAGGGATGTGCCCAGAAAAATATTCATGCTGGGCGGTAATCTTCGGCAGAAAATTATCGGTTTTTTTTCGATCGAAAATGCGCAATTTCATGAGTCCAGAGGTCAAAATTTACGACGGCAACACTCCGTAGTATTTAGCTAAATTACCGTAGAAAATAAATAAGAACTACGGGCGACATTTTTAGCCGTGTTAATTTATTTAAGAATATGACGACAGCAATTTGCCAATGTTGACACTGAAACCACCGTTGTATACCTGCGTAATCCACGGCATAATCGAAAATAGGAATTTATTAATTATTGTTTTGTTTCTTTCCTGAGTTCTTGTGATTGTATTTTTCTATCGAAAACACAAGTCGGCATTCATTCAGTCGTACCATGGAACCGTATACGGTCCATTGTCGTACGTCACTCAGGTAGCACTAGCAGCCAATTTTATAACAATTATGAATTTACTGACCATCTACACATGTTTTCACCTGTTTGTCATTAGTTTATAGTTTATAGCATTATGAAGTATTTATATCTAAATAAATCAAACACGTAGGCCCTATTCCCCCAAGTCATCTGACCTAATTCTACCGTAACGTCACATGATGGTGAATGGAATGGAGATGCACACGGCTCGTTGACTGGTTTATTTAAACATTTAAAAAGTTCAAAACAATTTCCAGAAATAACGGCTACGAATAATTTACTGGAAAATATGATCAAATCAAATAATTAGGTCGGGAAAATATATCATATAAATTAATATAATATAATTTTTGCGTAAATAAAGACGTGACGTTAGAAAGGAATTCCAGAGGGCGTTACATGTCCGCCGCACAAAGTTCATGTAATGTAATGTCATGCACATGTGTGAAATCGTCTTTTGATAATCAAATTACAGTATTACGGATATTTTATAATCAGAATTCAACACCTCAACGGCGAAGTATTCATTTAAAACGCAAGTTTGGTACCATGATACTTATATTTGGTGGAATTTATGTGGATACGGATTATAGAATTGCACAAATCTATAAAAATAGTTTAAATAGCAAAAATAGTCGTCTTCTGCTAGTGCTATTTTTAAACAATAACGGTGCAGTAGGCTAGTTTAACCAGTCTTGCTAGTTACATCGCACTGATCTGACCAGTTAAAAGAGTCTAAAT